GATGCAAGTCTGGGCTGCAGAGACCCGGGCTCTGCCCCCCACGTCAGCGTCATGGGGCAGGCTCTGGGGAGATGCAGTCTCCACTATAAGGAGAATTCCCTTTCTTTTTTTTTCGTTTTGCTCTTTTGAGATATACTCTTCCTGTGTTGACTAGGGTGGCTGGTGCTGAACTCACTATGTAGACCGGGCTGGGCTTGTGATTAAGGTGATCCTACTGCCTCAGCCTCAGGGCTGGGATTACAGGCGTGTGCCACCGTGCTCAGTCTGTAATGGAGAATGTTCTGGAGTCAGGGTTGCCTGTGCTTCATTACCTCTGGACACTGCACACCGCACGCCCGAAATTCAAAGAAGTTGGGGCTTAGATTGGCTCCTGGTTTCAGCAGATCCAGCCCAGGGCCAGCTCCAAGGCAGGAAGGGGATGGTGGAAGGGCCTGCTGGGCCAAAGCTTCTCAGTTCATGGTGGCCAGGGAGCAGAGCAGGGGATGGGGCCCAGGAGAAGGGGCCAGGGACCAGAGAGACCCCGCAGCCACACCCCAGTGACCACGCAGACAGACCCAGACACATGCGCCCAATCCCCTGGGCAGGTGGAAGCCCAATGAATACGCAGTGCATCCCGGGTGTCACATACCTGTGGGGCAAGGCACTGTTGGCGACAGGCTCAAAGCCACGGACGGTGGCTCCTGCCCAGACTGACCCTGGCCCTGACTCCTCACATGGGCACAGTAACACTAATAGCAATAATAAACAAGGAGATACAGGGGGAATTGGTGACTGCGAGGTTCCTTCCAGCTCTAGGTCCTCGGGAGGAAACCAGACAGGCAAACCCTAGAACTTCTGTTTCAAATCCCAGCACAGCCTGCACCCTGACTTCCCAGCTGCCCTCAGGCCTGGAGAGGCCACTGGCCAGCAGACCCAGGGCCCCAGGCAGTGCTGGCCCCTTATTAAGGTGGGGTGAGGTCTCTGCCAGAACTGTGGCCCACGGCCTTGGGCCTAGATTAAAACCCCAGCTCTGCGCTAGCCATGTAACACGGCCTTGTTACAGGGTTGGGTGAGGCAGCTCCTAATAAACCCATTTCCCAGGTGAGATGGGGCAGCTGGTGCATGCTTGCATTCCTAGCACTGGGGAAGCTGAGGCAGGAGGATCTCCACAAGATCATAAAAGCGCTGAGCCGCCCCTGCTTCCTAACCAGCAGGCCACACTGCCTCACTACCTGAAGGGGCTGCACGAAGCGGTTTCAAGTTCCCTGGGGTGGACATGGGGGCTCAGAGGAGGTCCTCCCAGAGACCTGGCCGGGAACTAGGGGCCCTGCCAGCCCTAGCCCGCACCCCTCCGCCTCTGCTTGCGCCTTTCCCGCCGGGAGGATCCCGAGCACAGCCCCTCCCGGCGGAGGGCCCGTGTTAATTTGTCAAATCCTCGTCCAGGTCCCTGGGACCCGAGTTTATTTTCGCGACCCTGTGGCGGGTCACGTGGAGGGGCGGGGCCTGCCGAGGGGCTGGGAATCCGCTAATTAATAAAAGTTATTTATTTGGGTTGGAGCTCGTGGGAGCCCCGGGGTCAGGCGCAAACTGAGTTCTTTGAAGCAAAAACAAACAGTGGGCGTCTCTCAGCAGCTCGGAAAGGCCGGCTGAGAGTTTATTTGTCTGCGCAGAATTTGTGGTTAATTCCCTGCAGGCTGCTTAGCCCTCCGATTACACGGAGGGAGGCAGACAGGCCCGGCTGGGCTGGCGGGGCTGGGTGTTCCCTGCAGCCGCAAGGCCGCTCAGGTCGGACCTCTTCTTTGTCTAATGCAGTCACAGATGATTTGGCGCTGGGTTTTAAGGGCCCAGTGGCCTGCTCCTGGCTTTGGGTTCCATGCCCTTCCGCTTGGGTCTCACCTCAGCTTCCCAGCAGCCGGTTCAAAGCAAGTGGGGTTGAACCTCAAGCCTTGCCTTGAGGTTTTATTTTTATTTATTTCTCGAGACAGGATTTTGCCGTGTAGTTCAGGCTGCCCATGAACTCCCAGCGATCCTCCTGCCTCAGCCTCCTGAATGCTGGGCTTGCCTTGCTTTGTTATCTTGGACAGAGCAGGCCCTGCACTGTCCCCCCAGGAGAGGTTGCCATGAGGGGACAGCTGGACACCCGTGGCCTGAAGCGCTGAGTGTTGATTTATTGTTTCAGTACTGGAAGTCCAAGCTTGGAGGAACCAGAGCGCCGGTATGTGCCCACCACAGCCTAGTTCTTGGGCTGGTCAGGAGCAGATGGTGACAAGTAGCCCAGGTGACTTTGCTTGGAGGCAGAGGCCACACAGAGACTTAGGCTGGAGCCAAGACTGTGGGTTTGAGTCTGAGCCCTGAGAGAAACTTCCTGAATCTCTTTGTCCTCAACCTCAGTGCCTCATGTGGGCTGCACCCATCCTGCCATTGCAGCTGAGCCCTAGGGGACCAAGGGGCAGGAAGAAAGGCTTTTGTCTTTAGCTGCAGCATAGAGCAATCAGCCAAGGGCGGCACTGAGCTCAGCTCAGCACCTCCCTGCGTGAGGAGTCCCAGGATGAGCAAGTGTTACAAGGGGTGAGTGAAGGAAGACAGGCCATTCCCCTCCTCTTCTTCCCGATCCTTTTCCTTCGGGAGGTCCTGGGGATTGTTCACAGGGCTTTCCCACTCGGCACCATCCCAGCCTTTTCTGTTTAGTTATTTATTTTGTCTTTTTGATACAGGCTTTCACTGTGTAGCCCAGGCTGGCCTCAGACTCTTGGCGATCCTCCTGCCTCAGCCTCCTGAGTCCCAGGGTGACAGGGGTGTGCTGCCAACCCTCAGTTGAGGGGCTGTGACGAAGGCTGTGGCGTTTGCACACCAGGGAGGTGTTAGGAGGCTTTGGCCCCTCGCACTCTGGACTGGGAGTGACAGACCCCAGTCACTGCCCCTAGGAGAGGGGCTGAGGAGACCCATGGAGATGGCTCATAGCTTTCCAAGCTCAGAGCCTCAGTTTCCCCAGCTGTAAAGTCCCTGCGGTTGGGGGGCAGCAGATGCCTCCCTCCCACCAGGCTCCTAGTGAAGGCTGCAGGCTGGCCTCACTGAGATACCCCCAGTGTGGGGTGCTGCGAAACTTCCAAAAAAGTCTTTCTTGGCCTACATGCTGTTTGTTGAGTGGGGTGTGGGCCTGGTGTAGCCTGAGGCGGTGGAAATTAGCTCTGGGATGGTGGCTGCCTTCCAGAACCTTCCAGAACCTTCCAGAATCTTCCAGGCTGCCTTCCGTCTCTCTTCTCCCCAGTGCCCTGGTTCCAGTGCCTGTCTCTGGCTTAGAGTTTGGGGTTTTCCTTGATGGCACGGCAGCGGGGAGAGGCATTCACAGGCGCCTACATCCTTGCCCATCTTCACTTCTTGCTATTTGTTCTTTTGAGACAGGATCTCACTAGTTAGCCCAGCCTGGGCAATATATTCAGACTCTGTCTCAAAAGTTAAAAAGTAAAGGGGAAGGGGCTGAGGATTTGAAGGCTCTGGGTTCAGTCCCCAGGACTATCCCCACAGAAAAGGCAAGGCTGGGCACAGTGGTGTACCCAAGTGGTCCCGGCACTTGTGAGGCTGAGGCAGGAGACTCACCAGTTCAAAGCCACTCTGGACTACGTAGTGAGAGCCCCTCTCTGCCTCCACTCCCAAATAAAAGGCCAAGTGGAATTATTTTATTTTATTTTCAAATCCATTTTACTTCAAAAAGAAAAAATAATGAAGCAAGATTCCAAAGCCCATCCATCGGTGTTTTATTTTAGTGCCTGGGACTGAAGCCAGGGTCTCACAATTGCTGGGTAAATTCTGAGTGGAATCCCCGGCGCCTCAGTCTTTAGATTTATATTTATAATCCTGTAAGCTGGGGAGTGTGGGGCTCGGCCAGGGGAGCCCTGGCTTGGCTTTGTGTTGGCTGAGTGTGCTATTGAGACAGCAGCCATATTACTTTGTAACTACCATGTACCTGGGAGTGGCTGGGAACCGAACCCATGGCTGTGTCCCCAGCTTCTGGGTCAGCTCCTGGCCACCCCAGGGCTGAGAGTCCGCTGGTGCCCACACATGGCCCCGTCCCGCCCCATGGCACAGTGACCCCCACGCCGGGTCCCCCTCCCAGTCCTCTCCCCGGCACCCAGCTGGGGGCTGGGCCGCTCCCGCTGTGCTGGCCGCTGTCTGCAGCAGCTCTGCAGTCCTCTTTCCTGAGGGTCTTTAGCTGCCCTGTTGAAGCTGACTTGATGCCCTGTATATCCCAAACCACTTCCCTTTTGTGATTATTTTGATTCGGGTTTTACCACCGCCTTGCCCTTTATTTATTTTTGTATTTTTGAGACAGGGTCTCACTGTGCAGTTCAGGCTGGCCTTGAGCTCACTGTGTAGCCCAGGCTGGTTTCGAACTCACAACAATCCTCCTGCCTCAGCCTCCTGAGTGCTGGGATTACAGGTGTGAGCCACCACGCCCGGCTAACACTCACTGTATTTTTGATCACATCTTGTAAAGACCCTCAGGAAGGAGGACCCCAGAGCTTCTGTGGGCGGTGGGACACTGTGACTGAGTCCAGAGGGTGAAGGGCGAGTACTGGCGCTGACTTCCACGCTGACACCTTCCGTGACAGTAGGGATTTGTGGGAATTCTGACCACACGTGGTCCACACAGCCCCCCACCACGGTTATTCAGCAGCACCCTTCGGCAGGGCAGAGTTGGCCCTGTGTGGAACCAAGGCCAGGTGCCAGGGACACATGGGTGTCTCCCGGGCCCTTCCTGACCAGGTCACGTGTGCCTGGTGGAGCCAGGCTTGTTTGGGGGGCTGCTGTGGCCCCCAAATTGTTTGTTCCAGGGACAGGGACCTAACTGCTGTGCTGCATGGCACCTCCCAAGGAAGGGTGAGTGAGCCTGAGCGGGGCGGAGCTGAAAAGGCTGCCGTCCTCCCTCTGCCCGGCCCTCCCTCTGCAAAGGGAGCCGGGAAAGCTTGGCCAGGCCAAGCCCTGCATGCCCCCCGCAAGGCGCTGACCCCCAGTCCCCGCAGGTGAGTGTCCCAGCCCGGGCCGGGGCGGCACCAAGCGGAAGAAGAAGCAGCGGCGAAACCGCACCACGTTCAACAGCAGCCAGCTGCAGGCGCTGGAGCGCGTGTTTGAGCGCACGCACTACCCTGACGCCTTTGTGCGCGAGGAGCTGGCGCGGCGCGTGAACCTCAGCGAGGCGCGCGTGCAGGTGAGGCCGTGCCGGGGTGCGCGGGGCGGGGAGGGGTTGGGAGGGGAGGGTTCCCTAGGCAACAAGAGCATCTGGCCGGGCACAGAGGGGCGCCCCTGTATCCCAGCACCCTGAGGCAGGAGGGTCGCTGCCAGTTGGACACCAGCCCGGGGTGACAGCACAAGCCTGTCTCCAGGATAGAATGAGCTCGCGAAGCCGGGGGGAAGCTGTGACTCCTTGTGACCCTAACCCCCCCCCCCCCCCCCGCTTCGGTTGCTCTCTGCAGAGTGAACCCGGGGTTGTCACCGCCCCGGAGCTGGGGTTGTTCTGGGGCGCCCAGAGCAGCACGAGGGTTTGAGGAGTGAACCGTTTGCAGGTCCAGGTCTCAGGCTCCTCGGCGGCCACTCCCAGCCGCGTCCAGCACGCAGTCCCGTCCCTGCCCCTCCCTCCCCCAGCACCCACTTCCCCAGGGCAGGCGCCACCCTTCCGTCACCCGCAGGGGGCGCAGAGGTGCAGGCAGGGGAGCGGCCCCGGGTGGGGGTAGGGCGGGTGCCCCCGGGTCCCCATCCGGACTCGGGCTGCTCCCTGGTCCTGCCTGGCCCAGGTCTGGTTCCAGAACCGCCGTGCCAAGTTCCGCCGCAACGAGCGGGCCCTGCTGGCCACGCGCTCGGCCTCGCTGCTCAAATCCTACAGCCAGGAGGCCGTGGAGCAGCCCGTGGCGCCCCGGCCGACAGCGCTGGGCCCCGACTACCTGTCCTGGCCGGCGGCGTCACCCTACAGGTGAGGGCCGGGGTCGGGCGTGGATGCCGAGGGCCACGTTGCTCCAGCTGCTGCGAGCTTGGGTGCCTGGGGTGGGTGCGCGCGTGGGTGGGTGTGAGCGCCTGTATGCACGTCCTCTGCAAGGTGCACGTATGCCCTCGAGTGCACGTGAGTGTGGATGTGTGCGGGAGGACACATGGGAGGAGCCAAGCCGCTCTGCAGTGCTGATCAACGGGTGTCACTGGAAGAAGCAGAGCCTGCAGGAAACTCCTAGGCAGACACAGGAGCCCCTGTGTTTCCTGCCAGCTGAGACACTGGTGCTCTGGGGGCGAGGGAATGGCCCTCCTGTCCCGTGGTAATGGCTGGGGCCCAGAAGCAGGGTCTGGTGGTTTTGTCTGGGAGGCAGGTGGTGCACACCTGCCATCCTGGCACTCAGGAGGCTGAGGCAGAAGGATCTCTGAGTTCAAGGCCAGTCTGGGGAGCATAGTGAGTTCGGGGTCAGGCTGAGTTACATAGAGAGACTCTTTCTCCAAAGGGAAAGAAAGAATGAGAGAGAAAGAATAGAAAAAGAAAAAAAGGAAGAAAGGAGGGAGGAAGGGAGGGAAGATGGTGTCAGGTGGCCTGATGGGCCGAGGAGGGGGAGAGGCTGTGGTGGTGGCCGCTGTGTCGCACCCTGAGTCTGCGGGCAGCTCTGGGGATCTGGTTTTGTGCCTCACTTGTGGGACTCCAGTCCTCGAGATGTCCCTTAGTTGGAGCAGGAGCCACCCAGGGGCAGGATCGTCTACCCCCCCCCACACACACACACAGGCCAGGCAGGCACCTAAGGGTCACAGTGCGGTCAGGAAAGCCACTTTCACAGGGGCTCCTCCTGGAGGCCACAGGTCATCTCACACCCCTGTGTTTCCTGTCACCCCAGCTCTGTACCACCTTACAGCCCGGGCAGCTCGGGCCCAGCGACCCCGGGGGTCAACATGGCAAACAGCATTGCGAGCCTCCGCCTCAAAGCCAAGGAGTTCAGCCTGCACCACAGCCAGGTGCCCACGGTGAACTGACCTCCGCTCTACCCCCTGCTCGGACCGCCTGGTGGGGAGGGGACAGGTGCATGGGAAGTGGCCTTTGCCTGTCCCCGTCCCCGTCCCCGGGACAGGCTGGCTGACTGTCCCGCCCAAGCTCCATCCCGGACTCCTGCATCCTGGAGGCTGATGGGACACCCAGGGCCACTCAGCCCCCAGGGACCACGGGGTGCTCCCGCCTTGACCCCTTGGGGCTGTGGTTGGCGGGGCGGGAGCCTGCCGAGGACTTCCTCACTGTGTGTGAACCCAAACGCTCTATATGAAATAAAACCATTTTTTCAAAAGCCCAGTTTGACAGCTGGGACCTGCAGGGCTGGGCGGCCTGCTGTGGCCCACAGCAGTCACGGGGCCCCGCTTGTAGGGGTGTGGGGAGAGTGAGGCAGAGGCTACAGAGGCCAGACTGTAGGGGCGCTTGGCCAAAGGAGCTGAGACCCAACGGTGCTTGGGGGCTGCAGGTGGGGGGGGGACACCCGCTAGTGACAGCACTTAGGAGAGGTTTGCAGGGGTTCTGGGCGTGGGGGAGGGGGACAGATTTCCACGGGTGCGGGGACCAGCACCTTCCCTGAGAAAGGCCAGTGGTCGGAGGAGGATTTCAGAGGCCACAAGGTCTGTGGGAGCTGTGGGTGCTGCCAGGGGCGGGGGCCCGGTTCCCCGTAGGAGGGGCAGAGCCCGGACCCAGCGGGACAGTGGGCCGGTCTGGGGGGTGTCACCGACAGGGCAAGGGCCAGAGCTGGGCTGATGGGTTGCGCAGTTGTCACCCCAGCCCTCCTGAAGGCCAAAGCGGGAGGATCCCAAGTTGGAGTCCAGCAGCCTGGGCACCTGAGATCTGGCTTCTACTTTTCCACTCCTGGGGGGCGCCCTGAGGAGCCGAGGGGTGACACTGCCCGCTGCAGAGGGGGGCCTGGGGGCGGGGTCCTGGGAAGGCTTTGGAGGAGCTTGGCTCTTTCCCACGAGCTGCTGGTCCCGGGACCGACCACGAGGACACAGTGTCACTTCCTTCCCAGCGCCCCCGGCTTAATGGTTCACACGTGCGGCTGAGCCGCCTCCCCGCCAGCGGTTCCCACGCGGCCGGCGGTGAGGACCTCGCGCAGGCGGGCGCCAGGAGATGGTTTTCTGGAGTCCCCGTCCCAGGCGGGGGGTGGGGTGGGGGTGGGGCCGGATCTTCCCTGCCGCCCCAGCCTGCTCAGGAGAGGGACAGGAAGAGCCTGCCTGCCGGGGAAAACCCAGACCAGAGGAGCAAAGGCCACTTGTGGTTCTGAGCCAGGTGCGGTGGCCTAGGCCTGTCAATTCAGCAGCTGAGACGCTGAGGCAGGAGGATCTCAAATTTGAGGCCAGTGTGAGCTGCATAAAAAGATCCTGGGGGCTGGGGATTTAGCTCAGTGGCATAAGCGCCTGCCTTGCAAGTGTGTTGTCCTGAGTTTGATCCCTGGTACTGATAAAAAGAGAAAAAGACAAAAAAAAAAAAAAAAATTTTGTCTCAAAAAAAGGGAAAAAAGGGGCTGGGGATTTAGCTCAGCGGCATAAGCGCCTGCTTTGGAAGCGCATGGTCATGAGTTCAATCCCTGGTACCGATAAAAATTTTAAAAAAGAAAGAAAAAAGGTCTGGCCGTTGGAAGTCCAGCTGAACTGGTCTTCCTCTGCCTATGGCCCCTCCAAGGGTCCCCCAGGCCTGCTACTGCTCTATGGGTCTGCCGGGCCACAGGCTCTAGCCCACCCCCACCTGTCGCGCCAGGGACAGGCCACTTGACCTGAGCCACGGCCTTGCTCACCTCTCCTCACTGGAAGCCTCTCAAGAGGCTCCAGAGACACCAAAGAAAAGAGGCTGAGGACTCAGCTCAGTGGTTCAAGTGCTCACTGTATAAACCTGAGGTCGTGCATTCGAACCCTGGTGCAAAAAAAAAAAAAATCGTTTAAAAAATATAATTTAGCTCAGAGGCACAGCGTCTGCATGGCAAGCTGGAGGTCCTGAGTTCAGTTCTCGGTATAAAAAAATGTCTATTTATGACTCAGTGCTACAATTTTATATTTAGAAAAATAGAACAAAATCTCCTATTATTTTTTCTCTTTTGTTGTGTGTGTTTTGTTTTGCTTTGCTTTGGGGTTTTTTTGAGACAGCAGCCAGGCCAGTCTTGCACTGGCATCAACCCTCCTGCTCAGCCTCCCCAGTGCTGAGATGACAGATGTGTGACATCACACCTAGCCTCCCAATTACTTTCCCAACTCAGACTTTAAAAAGCAAAACCGAGGGCCAGGGGTTCAGCTCAGTGGCATCAGTGTCTGCCTGGCAGGTGCAAGGTTGTGAGTTCGATCCCTAGTACAAAAAAAAGAAAGCTAAGTCGCTCAAACTCTGCTTAGCTGTGCAGATGCCTAGAGGAGCTGCAGCCACCCCGGGTGGACGTGGGCGGGCGCAGAAATAATGGAATGGAGAGTGGCCTAGGAGAGGCGAGCCTGTCCTCCCGCCCTCCTCTCTCTGATGCAGACAGAAGATGCCAGTTACACTACACACGTGTCTAATATGCCGAAGACAAACCCTGACAGTTGGAAACTGGAACACAGCCAGGATCTCACCCCAGAATCCGGGGTGTGCGTGGTCTTTGCTCCTCACTTAGCACTTGTAACAAATATCCCTGCAGGGCCTAAAAATGGACAAAACCCTTAAAAATCCTACCCAAATCCGTTTTATTTTAAAAAGAAAAGAAAATCCTACCCAAATTGGAGCCCTCCTTTCTGAGGGCACTGTATGGACCACAAGCCTTACAAATAGATGGGCGGCAGGGCCTGTCGGTGGGCGCCTGCAATCCCAGCACCCAGAAGGCTGAAGGCAAGAGGCTCTCTGCAAGCTCAAGGCCAGCCTGGCTGCCTAGTGAGACCCTGTCTCAAAACAAAAACACACACAGCTATTGTCTTGAAATTCTGTATCATAGTTTTTATTCTTGTTGTTTTTAAAAAAAAACTCCTAAGAGTCAGGACAGAAGCCAAGGTTGCTTCTGCTCCACGGCCCTGCCTGCTCCTGCCAGCGCCAATGCGAAGCCTCTTGTGCCGCCAGAGGCCGAAGCTGCGGGCAGCGACCGGCCGGGGTGCCGCGGGGGCTCCCGCCCAGGCGCGTAACCTGAAATCCGGGCGGCGCAGGTGAACGGAGGCCCCCGCGGCTGCACGCACCCCGGACCTCTGAACGTCCCAAGCACCAGGGCACTGGGTGCCCCCAGCCCAGCCCAGCCCCTGCACAGCAGCCACGGCCCATACTTCCGGTGCCCACACCGCGGTCAGGGGGTGGTGGCCAGCTGCGGGGTCTGCGGGGTGCGGAGCAGGGGAGCGGGCGCTGGGTGCCAAGAAGGCCCCGCGCTTGGGGCTCGGGACGGCAGGGGGCGCCCCGCACCCGCGGTCCACCCGCGCACCTGCCCTACACCCCCCCCCCCCCCGTGCCCTGGCGGCCAGACGACGCCCCCAGGCATTCGGGGGTGTGGCTGTCCCCGGGGCCGCCTGGCATCGCATAGCCACCAGGGGGCAGCGTTGCTGCGCCGGACCCCAGCCCACTGGCACGCGGGGGGGGGGGGGGCGGGGGCGGCCAGGGCCCCAGGCAGGCAGGGCCAGTGCGCTCCACCCCAGCCCCAGCTTCCCCAGGCCCTTGTTTCCGCAGTACTGCGGGTGACCCCAGGCCCTCGCATTTGACTGTATCCCCGACACTTTTATTTTCTGTACAGGATATTGCTAAATGCCTCCAGCTTGAACTCACCGTTCTTCTGCCTCAGCCTCCAGAGTGGCTGGAATTACAGGTGACCACCACGCCTGGCTAACAGGACCAACAGTGAGGCCTGGCGTCCCTGACCAGCACCCTTCAGCCCTGTAGTCCTCCAGAGGTGGGTCCATCTGGTGGAGTTAGCAGGGGGTCAGAAAGGGACCGTAAACTTGTTGTGAACCCCGCGGTCCTGCGTGTGAGCTGCCCGTGCTCAGTCTGAGCTCCCAGGCAGGCCTTATTGTAAAAGCGGAGCTGGTGCAGGTCGTGGCGGCACACACCAGCCATCCCACCATTCAGGAGGCTGAGGCAGGAGGATCTCCACAGTTTCAAGCACAGTTGGCCACAGTTCTGAGTCCCCCTGCAGAGCAGCATCTCCCTGGCCCTGGTAGGAGGCGGGTCCAGGGCCGAAGCAACTGGTTACTGTGGGACTTGGCATCCAGTTGGTGACTGGGTCCTGCCACTCTGGCGCCAGGCACCCCAGCAGAAATGCGGGGGGCATCGGGCAGCTTGGGCGAGGGTGACAGCAACACAGAGCCCACAGGAGGCTGCTGGGGCACAGTCCTTGCTGCTTAATGGGGTGCTGGTCTCAAGCTGGGCATCTGGGGCACACAAACACACACAGAGCCCCCGCGAGGCAGCCCATGGGGCAGAAGCTGGCGTCCTGGTAGTTGGGGACTCTGTACCTATTGTGCCCACCTGCAGCCCGGAGCCTAGGGAGGAGGACACAGACTCATCCCAGTACCAGGGGCAGGTGCCACGAAGAGCAGGGGAGAGGCTGGGGACCTCAGGGGACGCCACTCTGTCCAGAGGCTGCCACAGTGCCTGCGAATCCCAGGCCAGCCTTGGGTGGTTCGGAACCCTGAATGAAGACTCCCCTGACTCTTCTGACTCTTGGGCAGGGAAAGACAAAAATGTGAGTTTCATACTCTGCTTCTTCCATTGATAGAGTTTTTCCTTTTTTTCTTCTTGGACAGCCTTACTATGCAGCCCAGGCTGGTCTCTGCTCACCATCTCACCGGGTGTCCCAGGCTGGGCTCAAACTCCAGGTGACCCTCCTGCCTCAGCCTCCCCAGGGCTGGGATTTGGTTTTCTATCAGTCCTGACAATGGGCCAGTTTATCCGGGAACCCAAGATAGACAGACAAACAGACAGACAGACATACTCACACACACACACACACACACACACACAGTCTCCTGGGCCCAGAGGCTGCCGGGGAGCCAGGACAGCCCGCCCTGGCCTGTGGGTCTGGTGGCTGAGAGTCACGGGTCACAGGTGGTGGGCCGCTTCCCACAGGATCTGCAGGGCCATGGAGGCGCAGGGCAGCTGGGCCACGGTGTAGGCCACGGAGCGCACGGGCGCGCGCAGTTGGCCCAGGTAGGCCACAGTGTGCAGCAGGCGGCCCAGCAGGAAGAGCAGGAAGTGTGCCCAGGCGGCGGCGGGCGCGGGGCCCAGGAAGCAGTAGACGAGGCCCAGGAAGAGGAATGGGTAGATGGTCTCCATGTCATTGCGGTGGGCTCTGCAAGAGCAAGGGGGCCATCAGTCAGAGCGGCCCACCCCAGAGCCTGGACTCTGCCCTGAGTCCGCGGGCCACTGGGCACCCACGGCTCCGTCCCGGTCCCTGTGTTGCAGAGCCGGGGCAGTGGAGCTGGGGAGGCTGAGCCCCCGCTGAAATGCAGAGGCAGCACACTTAACCCAGCGCTTGGTAGGCTGAGGCAGGAGGATCGCTGTGAGTTCCAGGCCAGCCTGGGTGATGTGGCTGGATCACCCCAGACTGTGGGCCTGGCTAACCCCCCCACCCCCTGCCTGTGGCTTGGTGGCTTTGTTTAAAGCAGTTGAGCAGGCACTGGGGGAGCTGTGTACAACCCGGCGAGATAAACGTAAACAGGGCAGTGAGAGGGCAACTCGCCTGCACTGCCCAGGCTCAGTGCCCGTGTTCCTGTGACCCCAGCCTGGGGGGAGCTGGGCCCCAAACTCCAGCCGAGCAGATGCCTGAAGCCATCATTGCCTCTTTAGTGCTGGGATAAACAGGAACAGTGCCAGGGCCTGAGCCCTGGACAGAGGCTTTCTGGGAGTGCAGGCATCTGTGAGAGGTGTTCAGATGGCCAGCACAGGGCCTGCTCCTCCAGCCCAAGGGGAGAGAAATCAGGGGTGGGCCACAATGAGGGAGGAGGATAGAGTACAGCAGGGCCTGGTGCACGTGGCACCCAACACTGTAAGGGCCTCCACACAGTGACCAGGGTGGGGGCGCTCAGAGAAGGAGACAGCTGTGCTGCAGGCTGAGTGGGGAGAAGCCAGCAGGCAGCTGTGGGGGCGCTCCAGGGATTGGAGCTAGCCATGCAAAGACCCTGGGTCAGGAAGGCACGATGCATCGTTCACAGGGCAGGGAGAACCCTGTGCTACAGTGCAGCATGCTACAAGGAGCTGGAATCTGTTGAGTGTGTAGGAGGACAGTGTGTAGGAGCCAGCAGCCTTCCCCACTGGGGCCCTTCCCCTCTGTCCCCTGAGACCAGCACCCATCTGCCTTCTCCCTGAGCTTTGTTTCTTTGTCTTTTTGAGACAAGCTCTCTTCGTGCAGGCCAGACTGGCCTTGAGCTCACTCTGTAGCCCAGGGTCGCCTCCAACTTGTGGGGTGATCCTCCTGTTTCAGCCTCCTGGGTGCTGGCATGACACGTGTGCACCACTGAACCTGGCTGACCTTTTAAGAGCGAGCCCACGTTTAGGCAGCTGCGGTGACAGAGGAGGCACAGACACCTGGCCAAACAGACGCCAGAGGAAGGGAGGAGGAGCAGCAGCCTGGCTGGAGGAGGAGAAGGGGGAGGAGGAGGGGCCTGCAGAGCCCCGGGGGGCGGAGCTTCCTGGCTCCTGCCACAGCGGCCCGAGGCTCGGGTGTCACCTGTGAGGGTGGCCTGGCCTCTCCCTCCTTCCCTGAGCCACCGTGGTGCCTGGGCCACAGTGCATCCCGGGACACTCGCTTCTCTCCCTCCCTGCGGCCTGAGACGCGCAGGGAGTCACGTCCCGGACACTCAGCGCGGTGTCATCTGTAATAACCCCTCTTTAAGGAAAAAGCCACCCAAAGCGTCGCCGGGACCAGACTTGCCCGGCCGCCCGAGGCTCAGCGCCCGCCCGCCCCTCCCCACCCCCACTACAGGTTGCAACACAGCTGCGTCTTCCTGTAGCAGGTGACAGTGGTGAAGAAAAGGGGACCCACGGTGAGGCGGGGCCAGGCAGGGTCAGGGGCTCTCCCCACCCCCCACCCTTCCCGTTCCCCACCCGCGTGGCCCATTTCCTGGAATCCGGGCAGACACAGCGGGCAGCAGCCCTGCGGAGGCAAAAGCAGGAGCCAGAGAGTAAAGGTGCCTGGTTGGGCGGGGGGGGGGGGGGGGGGGGAGGTGGCGCACACCTGTCGTCCCGGCACTCAGGGAAGCTGAGGCAGGAGGATCCCCTCGAGTTTGAGGCCAGCCTGGGCTCCATAGTGAAACTGAAACGGGACACTGCACAGTCTAGACATTCAGAAGTGCTCCAAAGTTTGGGTCTAATGCTCGCCTTCCCCCTTGGGGACCCTGGGGTGGCCCCCTGCCAAAGCTGCAGATTACCACGGGTGGTGATTGGTGTTGTGATTCGCACCTCCACCCCAGGACCTGCGCTTCTGGACAAGCAGCCTCGGCCAGCTCCACCCTGTACACCCGGACCTGCTCCGGCTTGGTTTCCCCAGCCTGAGTCCTGCTTCGGGGCGAATTTATGCTTTGGAACCAGAGAACTGAGGCGTAAAAACTTCCTGTGTGGAAGCGATTTCCAGGGGGCCCCAGTGCCTGGGAAACTTTGCTCTAATATTTAACTAATTCTCCCCCCAGGCTCCCTTCTCTGTCTCCATCCAGCTCTGCAGACAGCAGGCTCTCCCAGGCTCCTCTGCACCCCAACTTCCCACAGAGTTCTGGGAGATCAGGTGGTAGAGGGGGAGCCCCGGAAGCCATGCTGTGCCTTGTACATAGTAGGTCCCCCGAAAGTTCCCCAGAGCAGAGCCAAAGCAGGGTTAGATAAGGAGTGCTCAGCCGGGTGCGTGGGCCACACCTGTGATCCCAGCACTTGGAGGCTGAGGCAGGAGGATTGCCTCCAGTTTGAGGCCAGCCTGGGCTACAGAGCGAGACCCTGCCTCAAAAACAAAACACACTAACAAAGCCGGTTCTGGGCACATGCCTTGTGTGCAGGGGGGTGGGAGGCTGTGGGGCTGCTGCAGGTACATGAGGAAGAGCCCCAGAGCAGGCGGCACTGCCAGGACATGCCCTGCCAAAGCTCCCGCAGCCCCGCCTGGGGCTCAGACAAGCACAGGGGAAACCACTGACTTTGTTCCGAGAATTGAACTCAGGACCTTGCGCTTCAGAAGGCTGAGGCAGGAGGATGGGTTTGAGGCCTGCCTGGGCTACATAAGGAGACTTTGTCTCAAAAAAAAAAAAATCTTTAGTATTAACCCTGCTTTTGCAATTATCAGTTTCTGACAGATCTCACAGCTGTGTGTGCCTTACGAGGTACCAAATTCAGGGCCTTCAGACTGAGTTACATCCCCAGCCCCTTCTTACACTTTTTAATTCCTGATATGCTTGAGACAGGGTGGGCTCAAACTTTCTATCTTCCTGCCTCAGCCTCCTCCCTGAGTGCTGGGATTTCAGGCTTGCGTCACTGCCCCTGGCTCACACAGTCATTGTCTGGGCTTTTCTTAAAGGAAGTGTCCAGCTGCGTAATTCAATCTGGCCTTGAAATCACTGTGGCACCCAGGATATCCTCAAACGCACGGTGATCCTCCTGCCTCAGCCTCCCGAGTGCTGGGGTTATAGGTGTGTGCTGCCACACCAAGTTTCACATGGCCATAAAATCTTCTTTCTTGGTGTTGAGGACGGATGGAACCCAGGGTTTCAAACATACCAGGGCAGCACCCTGCCCCACAGCCCAACCCAAGGACTGTTTGAGTTTTGAGTAATATTTGCCAGGTGGAGTTCGCCTGAAATAAATGTTCACTTGGGGAGATCAGAGCCTCGGCCTGGCTCCCTCCCGTCTCACACACCTGACCTTATCAGGTTTACACAGAAGACAAAGGCGAGATGGAAATGCTAGCCGGGCTCGGCTCAGCGGGGTTTCCCCTTCGGCTCTGCTTTCAGCGTGACCCAAATTGTCTGCCCTGACTTTTATAATAAGAAAAATAGTTTTCAACTGCCTGGGGCATGGTATGCATTTGAGAAGATTTTCCACTCTACTCTGAACAAAAAAATGCAAAGTTGCCAGGCGTGGTGGCTCATGCCTGTAATCCCAGCACATGGGAGGCTGAGACAGGAGGATCATTGGGAGTTCAAGACCAGCCTGGACTACATAGCGAGACCTTGTCTCAAAAAGACAAAAAAAAAAAAAAAATGCAAAATATGAAACCAGGCGTGGTGGTGTGGGCCTGTAACCCAGCTCTCTGAGAGGCTGAGGCAGGAGGGTGGCAAGTTCCAGCCCAGCCTGGGCAACTGAGCTAGTTAGTGTGATCCTGTCTCAAAATAAAACATCATAAAGGGGCTAGGGATGGAGCTGAGTGAGAGTGAAGACCTTGGGTTTATGTGTTTTTTTGTTTTTTTGAGACAAAGTCTCACTATGTAGTTCAGACTGGCCTCAAATTCATGGTGATCCTCCTGCCTCGGCCTCCTGAGTTCTGGGCTTACAGGAGTGTACCACCATGACTGGCCAGGGCCCTGAGTTTAATGCCCAGTACTGAAAAAGAAGAAAGAAGGAAGGAAGGGGAAAGGAAAATGTGACATCACCCTCCCTGTGGCCTGGGCAGGTGTCCACCCCACCTGTGACCTCCCATTGAGCCAGCAGTGACCAGGAGGCCTCACACAGCTGCAGCACATCTGGGCGCACGGCAGCAGAGGGTGCCTTGCAGTTTCCCTTCTTGCACAGAAGGCAGGGGACAAGGGTGCAGAGCTCAGCAGAGGGGACCGGCGAGGCTGCTGTGGGCCCCTGCACAAATGCTACAGCCCCAGGCCACTCTGTGGTCCTGTGTGGAAGGAAAAGAGACTGGATGGTAACCATGGAGGATGACAGAAGGAGGCAGCCGGCAGTCCTGGTCCTGAATTCAGTTCCCAAGACTAAAATTAAGCAGGCCAGGCACAGTGGTGCACACCCGTGATTCTAGCACTCGGGAGGCTGAGGCAGGAGGATCCCCGTGAATTCGAGGCCAGCCTGGGCTGCACAGGAGACCGTGTCTCAAAAAACAACAACTACAAAATTACCCAATGAATCATTAAAACAGCCTAAGGGGATGCAGAGCACAGAGAACCTCACCATCCTAGGCCCTGGGTTCAGAAGACCCACAGGAGAGGCCCCGGCCAGGTCAGCACATCACGGCCCCCAGCCTGCCCATACTTGCCTGAGACACCGCTCCACGTCCGGGTCACTCCGGCAGAACTGGATGCCACCGTGCCTCAGAGCGTCCTCAGGGTTGGCAAAAGCCTGAAACACATCAGTGCCCGTTACCACCGGGAGAGGCATGGCCAGCCCTGTTGTTCCATCCCTGGAGGGTTCCTGAGTCCAGGCTTCTGGTGAACTCCCTCCCCGTCCCGCTCTCCATCTGGAGGGGGATCAGCCTGTGACTAGGGGACACAAGAACTTCCTTTTCAGAAAGAGAAGGTAGAAGCTGGGCACATATGCACTCCTGTGATCCTCATTAAAGCTGATGCTTCCACATCAGCCAGGGGAAGTGAGGAACTGGAACCACAGCACAGGCAGCTGCAGGAACAGCATGTACAAAGGCCCTGGGGCCAGGAGAAGCTGTGTGCATTTGATGCTCCCAACTCAGGAGCAAGGGACAGGGGCCTGGGATGAAGCTGCAGGGCCAGCAGGGGTGCCAGAGGCATCTCAATAATTTTGCTTGCACTGGGTGTTGTGTCACACATCAATAATCTCAGCATTCTGGGAGGCTGAGACAGGAAGATTATAAATTCTAGCCCAGCCTAGGCAATTTAGCAATTTAGCAATATCCTGTCTCAAAAAAAAAAGTGAAAGGACTGCAGATGCAGCTTACTGCTTGGCCTCAGTCCCTGGTACCTTAAAAAAAGTACAGCTTGGAGCCAAGCATGGCGGTCCACGCACTTCATCCCTGCTCTCAGGAAGCTGAGGCAGGAGGATCACTGTGAGTTCAAGGCCAGCCTGGGCTACATAGTGAGTTCAAGGCCAGCGTGAACTAGTAGGGAGATTATCTAATAAAAAAAGAAAGGAAGGAAGGAAGGAAGGAAGGAAGGAAGAAAGAAAGAAAGAAAGAAAGAAAGAAAGAAAGAAAGAAAGAAAGAAAGAAAGAAAGAAAGAAAGAAAGAAAGAAAGAAAGAAAGAAAGAAAGAAAGAAAAGAAAAACGAAAGAAAGTCAGCCCAGCAGGTCACTTTCTTTCTGTCTCTAAATTTTAGTCCAAGGGAATTGGCCGGCCGCTTAGCACCTGGCCCCCAAGGCAGGTGGGAGCACTGGAGGCTACCCCTGACCTCGCACCTGGCTGGGGTGCTCCCCAGGTGGCCTCTCCGGAGATGAGAGGTCTCAGCTGCTTCCAGGACTGCGCGGGAACAGACAGCTCCGCCCGCGCAGGGCATCCCAGTCCCAGACTGCCGGCAGCGGTCAGGGTTAGTGACCTCCAGGCATCGGGGCGAGCAGCAGGGCTGGTCCAGCCTAAGTCTCCACCCCGGGGCCCACCCTGCGGGCAGAAGTGGCCGCACCTCGCCTTGGAAAGCGCGAGCCGACAAAGGTGCGCCTTTCCGGAAAGGGCTCCCCGAGACCTGCGTGGGGAAGCGCACGGAGCCTGGGCCGCTGCCTGCCGCGGAGGCTGGGGTCCCGCACACCCGATCCTGCTGCAGCTCGCTGGTCCCCAGCCCGCCCGCCCTCCGGCTGGCTCGGCTCGCCGCCGGAGTTGGGGGATTTCCTGCGGGGACCCCGGTTCACCCGGCACCCGGGTGACAGTCGCCGGAATGGGAATTTCCACTTAAAGTCTCTCGATTCCCGCTGGGCCGGTTTCCACTGCACCCAGAAGCTGGCACTGGGGCCTCCCGGTCGGCACCAGGTCGGCAGGAGGCGTTGGATTACTGGGTCCCCAAAACCCCCCTCCAGGATCTGCGGGACCCCGGGGCCAGCGCCTCACTGGTGTCCTGCAGAGCCAGGCTCACGGGGCGCCCGTGCTGAAGCCGGGCGTGCACCCCGCCAGGCCCCGGCCCGGGCCCCCCAAGGGGCTGAGCAGGAGGAGCCCCGGGCTCGGCCGGCCGGGCTCGCGCGTACCTTCTTCCGCAGCCTCACTTGGCCCGTGATGACGGCCACCACGTACATCTTGATGACCAGCAGCGTGCTGCACAGCAGGAAGGCGGGGAGCACCCGGCTGTCCACCGTCGCCAGGCCCGAGGGAGGCATCGCGGCTGCTGCTCGGCGGGACAGCGCGTGTGACCGTCCCGGGCGGCCTGAAAAGACCAGTAGTCGGCCACGGGCGGGGCGGGCGCAGTGGAAGAGGCCGCCCCAAGCTCCCGCCTTCTCCCCGCCCACCCTGGGCCTCGCCGGGCCCCTGCTCTGGGAGGATGAACCCGAGATGCTGGGAGGGGCACAGGACAGGGTTGGCAGCCTGCACCGTGCCTCCCAACTCTGGGATGCTGAGCCAGGAAGGTCGCCCTGTTGCAGCCCAGCCTAGGCAATTCAGGGACCTAGCAAGACCCTGTCTCAGGGTAAAATGGCTGGGGGTGGGGCACAGCGGGAAGCCCAGGGTGCAATCCCCAGTGCTGTGGGAAACAGAGTACACAGGGGGCCCCTCGCATTCGCGGGGAACAGCTAAGCTGGGCCCTGGGGGGGGGGCACCTCCTGGGCTGGGAGGTGCATTTCAGACATCTTACCTCCAGAACCCCCGATAGTATTCTGCGAGCTTCCAGGTGGCCCTGGGGATGGGACTTAAGGCCTCCAGGATGCTTGGCTAGTGCTGACCCTCTGGTTACATCCCTGGCTCCCTCCTCCTTTATTTTCACTCAATAAATTGCCCAGGCTGGCAATGAACTCGCAACTCTCCTGCCTCAGCCTCCCAAGTAACTGGAAATACAGGCACACAATACTTGTGCCCAGCTATTTGTGTTGTTTTAAACACTAATTTTATGTTTTTGTTTTGTTTTTAACAACAGCCATAAGAAACCAGCACACTGGGCTGAGTTTGGTGGTGCAGGCCTGTAATCTCAGCACCCTGGAGGCTGAGGCAGTAGGATCTTGGTGAGTTTGAGGCCAGCCTGGGCTACACAGTAAGTTCAAGTCCAGGCTTGAACTGCATGGCAAGGCCAGGCTCAACAAAATAACGAAACAAGTCCTTCGGTGAGGCAGGGTCTGGAGGCTGTACAATCACCAGCACCATGCACCAACCCAGCCCAGGAGGGACCCTGAGTGTCTGGGGTCCCCAGAATGTCGGTGCCACGGTCTTGACATTTTGAACCAGGGAGTGATTTCTGGAATGGGGCCTGGGGTGGGTGGGAAGCGTGTGGACAAAGAGCTGATTCTTTCCGATTATTCCTCGGAGGGACATGCAAGGAATTTCCCAGGTTGTCACGGGTACAAGCCGTGCCCCCCCCCCTTGCAATCTCCCCCGCCTCCACCATCTGCTGAAGCCTGCCAGTTAGACCAGGGCCCAGCCAGGAGCTTAACCCTGCTGTGATCTGTGGCCAAGAATTTCAATCCCTGGAAATGGCCTCGATGTCCTGGGGTGGTGGTGGCAATGACGGCCATAGAGATGTTGCTTGTCTCAAAGCTCCTGCTGCTTTCTCCTTCAGGAAGGAGAAGAGGGTACAGAGGGCAAGAGAAGGCCCCGTCAGTGTTTCCTGCGCTGCCTGGGTCGTGGCTGTAACGCAGAGTCACGGATCAGAAGTCACCGAGCTCGGGCTCTTACATCTGGTCACTTTACTGTCTTGCTTTCAGACCACGCCATGCAGGAAGCCCCGGAGGAGTGATTTCCCTCTCTCCGCTGGCCAGCTCTTCTCACTGGCCGAGCCTGGGGACTTCCGAGGAGACCAGGGGGGCAGAGGCAGCGCCCCACCTCTGCAGCTGGCTCCTGAGCGCTGGGGGTTGGCTGAGGTTCCCCCAGCCAGAGGTGGGGGACGGAAGGGCCACAGTGGCCATAGCCCCAGTGACCTTTCATAACAGAGGGGGCCGCAGTCATGAAGGACGGTGTTTATGAGATGGCGGGAACCCCCGGGGAGATCAGTTCACTGAACGAAGCTGCTTCTGGTCCCCTGCTCATTATTTCCGCCCTTCAGAAAATCGGGGCTTGTTTTCCAGCGACTGCACCCCTATGTTGGCCAGCGCCCAATCACAGCCCTCCATCCTTTTGGCACCTGGTAGTCATGTGACTCGGGCTGGCCAATCACAATGTTAATGTTCCTGGCATCTGGCCAATGGGATTAGCCCAAGCAAGGCCCATTGAGGCTTCCCTGGAGTCCCAGTCCCGATGAGGGCGTTGACCGCGGCCCCTCCTACCGCGGCCCCTCCAGTCGGGGATGGAAACTTGAATTTAGAAGTGGACGTCCACCTAGTGACTCATCTAACGCTAGAGATCTAGGAGCTGCTTTTTCTGCTAAACAAAACGTCCGCCAAGTCACATCCTTCAGCTGGGCACAGGCCATGACTGCAGCTTGCTGGGCCGAATTAAGTGAACATGACTTGGATTCTGTCCCTGCAACTAAAAGAACGCAAGCTAAGAGGACGCCAGCTCCGACGGCATCCCAGGGCTGGGTCCTGGGTCATGACTCCTCAGCCTCTTCCTGTACCTCCTGCTGGGCACGGCCCGCAGCTGTGTCTCCTAGGCAGGGGGGCCATCTGGGACAGGGGCCTGCTAATCCTCTAGGAGGCAGGGCGAGTGCAGGCCAGATGCTCCCCTTAGAATAAAGGAGGAGAGCAGGCATAAGGGTGCATGCCTGGAAGCCCAGCACTCCGGAGGCTGAGGCAGGAGGATTACTTTGTATCTGCTGGGCCAGGAATAGGAAAGATGCATTTGAATTTAGTTTGAGACGGCTAGCAAATGCACACCTACATGTGCACATACGTACAGACACGGGTACCTAAACCCTGCAGTGGGGGCACAGAACCAGAAAGTTCCTGGTGACTAGAAATGGTGGAAGCTGCCCGGCAGCCAGGCTCCTGCCCAGACTCACAAGCCCAGCCAGGCCCCTAGTGTTCCTCAGGACACAGCCCTGGTGGCTATGAGGACGAGGCCACCCAATCAAGGACAGCAGCCAGATGTCAAGGGCAGTGGCCGCAGGGCACTGGGCAGTGTCTCCCGCCAAACACTGGGCTCATCGTGGGTGTCAGCAGGATTTTCTTTCCAGTACTGGCCATTGACCTGCAGGGTCTGGGGATTCAGCTCCACATGCAGGCTTTTTGTTGTTTTATTTTTAGACAAAATCTCACTAAGTTGCTTAGGCAGGACGTAAAATTGCAGTCCTTCTGCCTCAGCCTCCCAATGGCTTGGATCATAAGCATCCACTGCCACAGCGTCATCACCAGATTTAAGGGAAGTAGGATCCATGCGCCCATTGCAGGGATGTGGAAACTGAGGCTGGGGAGGTGGTTGGGTTGGCCCCAGCTCCACAGCTGGCCTTCTGTAGAGGGGGACCCTCTGTCCCAGACACTCATGCCCAAGCACCTGCCATGCGCTGGATATCGGGAGGCTGCTTGGCAGGTGTAACCTCGGCTCCAAATTCATGGCTTCCTAGGCCGAGAAAGCAGGTGAGTGCTGCCTGTCTCAGGAGAGAAGGACACAGGTGCCTGATGCCAGGTCCAGGGGTAAGGGAGCTTGGATCCTGGGCAATGGAATATTTCTCAGCCAGCAAGAGGAAGGGGGTCCTGATCTCAATATGAAGTAGGTGAGCCTCAAAAGCATTCAACTGAGCGGAAGATGCTGGACTCCAACTCCACTTGCACAGGTTTCCAGGCGACTGGAGCTGTGTCAGAGTGTGGGACTGGTGGTCACTAGGGCTCAGAGAGGAAGGCATGACAATGAAATGTGTGGTGTGTTTTCCTCTGAGATGATGAAAGCTCTGGTAAGTGAGCCTGGCGGGGTTGTGTTTGCCTCCAATTCAGCACTTGGGAGGCTGAGGCAGGAGGATCACCGGGAGTTCAAGGCCAGCCTAAGCCTCATAGCAAGGCACTTAGTAGGGGTAGATCCAGGACATCTGAGGCAGGTGACCATCAGAAGCATGGGGGAGAAGCTACTTGGTCCCCAGCGGTGCCCCACCCTGCCTCCCTCCTGCTTTCCCGGGTGACAGAAGCACTTGTGTGGCTGGGGCTCCACGTCTGACCCCAATGGAGGCCATCGGCTGAGCAATCCAGTCACAGATGCACAGAGCCACTGTCAGGAGGGAGGGTTTCCTACATGCAGCTCTGGACAGGACCCAGCTGACAGGAAAGGTGCACCGGGGACTGAGGGCTGAGAATCGTTTACCTCAGCCCTAACGGCTGCTGGGCCCCGAACTCCGTTGCTGGCCGAGGCCCTGGGAGTCTGGGGCTCACACCCTGCCCGGGCTGGGTCCCAAGGATCATACACAGTCTCCGCCGCCCACGGATGTGGTTTCCTGGGCGTGTAGTGTGGGTGTGGAGCTCCTGGCCATTCGGGGACCTATTTCCTGGGAAGCCTGGCGGGAGGCTTGGTTCCTGAGCTGGGTCCCCAGGCCCCAACCCCTGGCCAGCTGGTTGGAGTTTTCAAAGGCTGGGGCCCTTGGAGTCTCTCCAAGTCCTCAGGGGCCTCTGAGACCCAAAACATCCAAGAGGCGCCACCCTCTGCCTCGGGCCTCTGTCACGAGACAGCACTGAGTGACTGTTTTTACTAATGATACAAATATGTCAGATGCTGGTGTTGTCTGTGGAGGGGCGCAGAAATGTGGGCGTCTTTCTTTCTTTCTTTGTTTTTTTTTTTTTTTTGTCCTTTTGAGACAGGGTCTCCCTATGCAGTTTCGACTGACCTAGAGCTGACTTTGTAGCCCAAGCAGACTTGCAGTGATCCTCCTGCCTCAGCCTCCTGAGTGCGGAGTGCCGGGATGACAGGCGTGCACCACCATGCCAAGCTCTCCTCCTTTATTCTAAAGGTCTGGCCTACACTCTCCCTGCCTCTCAGAGGATTAGCAGGTCCATTTCACAGCTGGGGAGCTCGGCCCAGGGCTGGGGAGGACCCTACTTAGGGTCTCAGACCAAGGCAGCAATGGAGCCAGCTCAATCCAGAGTCCTGACTCTGAGCTCCGAGGCAGAGCCGGGCCCTTGCACAACTCTCCTTGCTCCAAATTCCTTCCATATGCCACGCTGGATCTACCCCTGGGCTACAGAGAACAACCACACTCTTCCCGCTCCGCCCACCCGAACCAGCTGCCTGTCCTGGATCCACCCCTACTAACCAAATTAGTCCAGTTTGTAAAGATCTTTTTTTCTTTTAATTTTTTGAGACAGGGTCTCACCATGTTGTCCATGCTGGCCTTGAACTCATTGAGTAGCC